CTCCATTAGAGGTTCTCTGTCTCTCTCTCTTTCTGGCGAGCACATATGCCCTATAGCAAAAACCTCTCTCTCTCTCTCTCTCTCTCTCTCTCTCTATATATATATATATATATATGTATATGTCTATTATTAGTTGAATAATTTCTACATACCAAGCTCAATGATCACAATGAAATATTTCTAAAATTAAAATGGTATATGTTAGTGTTATTTTCAGAATGGAATCTCTAAATAATGTATATGTAAAATGTTCAGCCCTTCATAAGGAGTGACTGATAGGAAATTTTCTTCCAGTTTTCGAAAACATCTTACCTTTGAAAAACTGTTTATAATCTCTTCAAATATACTCTGTCCCTCTTCAATTTCTAGCTTTAGAATATGTGCCATGGAGGTCAGCAGGGGGTATAGTGTGGTTAAGGCACTGGACTCCTACATGGCCAACCATGGTTCAAGTCCAGGACCTGGTGGCCTGAAACTCACTCTGGGCACATGTGCGTGTGTGTTCAAGATCCCGGGAGGAGAATTAAGAAGAAGGGATTGTAGAAAAAAAAAAAAAAAAAGTGTCATTAACATGAAAAGGGTGAAAGTAGCAGATTTTAGCAAACTTTGAAATAGAAACATGATTTGAATTTTATGGTACTGAAATGCTAGACTCAACTGCATTTATTTTCTAGAGAAAAAGCCCAAGTGAATTCTCTGTGCCTTCAGGTGCAGGCCTTTCCTTCCCTGAGCTTCTCTTGGTTTGGTGTCTCAGTCTTCAGGAACCAGTATTACCGTGGATATTGCCGTGATGGGCGAGGCTCACGGCCTCATCACCGACCTCCTGGCAGACCCTTCTCTGCCCCCGAATGTGTGCACGTCCTTGAGGGCCGTGAGCAACCTGCTCAGCACGCAGCTCACCTTCCAGGCCATCCACAAGCCCAGAGTCAGTCCTGTCGTTTCCTGCAGTGAAAACTACACCTGTTCTGATTCTGAAGAAAGCTCTGAGAAAGATAAACTGGCTATTCCCAAGGTAGGTATCGATGACATTCTCCTTCACAGATTACACTTTCTCCCCATTGTCTTTGAGGCTTTCCTTCCTGGCATCCTGAAAGTGTCTGCAGATTCCAATCAGCTGGAGGGGGCAAGAAATAAGTATTGATGATGGTGACAAAAGCAATAAAAGTTTAGATCTAAAGACTTCTGTTCTTAATAGCTTTCTTTGAATAGAAAATTTGCTTTTTCTGTTACCTTTGTACTTTAAACTTTCAAGAAGGTTTACTTGCCAGAAGTTTTTACTAAGTTCTATGTGTTATGTTCTTAGGGCTGTCAAGTAAAAGAAAGGAGGAAAGGAAGGAAGGAAAGAAGAAAGAAATAGAACAGCAAAAATTCCCACTCTTATTCAGTACGGATTCCTTGTACAATTTATCTCGCTTTAAGACTGAAGATTTCTTTGTTCTTAAGAGTTCTTAGTATAACCACCTTCAAAGTATCCTCATGGTTTTCCCAAACACAAGTTTTGAACTCTGAACAATTTTAGTTAATTGTATGGTATTTAAAATAAATGACGAGCTTAGTGATTTATACAAACTAATTATCTTACGTGTAAAAAGAAATACAAGTTTCTTTTTATTATATATAAGATAATGAGTGTTATAAAAGTAAATTGTAAAAAGAAGGGGGACCACCAAATGGTTGTAATGGTTATGTTGTTGGACTCCTATGTAGTTGACTGCAGTTCAAATCCCAGACCCAGTGGCTTACAACTCATGCTGGGTGCATGTACATGGATGCCCATAGTCCTGAGAGGAGAATGGAGTAGAAGGAATCATGGTGTAACCATTCCCCGTGGGGGGAGGGGGTGACTTCTCACTTTCTGTCTTTCTCTCTCTCTGGTGAGCACACATGCCTTATAACAAAAGTCTCTCTCTTAAAAAATAAAAAGTCTTATTGAAGACTGAAAAAAATCAGAATTTCAGCAGTCTCCGATACATCCAGCAGGTTTGTTTATTTAGTAAACAAGACACTGTCCCCTTGAGCTGGTAGTCAATCCCTAAGATTCATGCTCCTGTTGTCAAGTCTCGACTGAGGAATGTGAGCCTCATCACTTTGTCAATAAGGTATTAAATAGTGTGTGTCCCCCAGTACAGGCTTAATTAAATCCGTACTGGGGGACACACACTATTGTGCAAAGTAATATAAATTCATCCATGCCCCAAGAAGGTAGCTTTTGAGGAAAATCTTTTACTCTTAATAATTTAATGTGTGTAAATACTATTGAACTAATATAACTATATATTATTCCAGAGGTAGTAGACTGTCACTGCTATAATCCCTTATTTGCATAATTTTTGAAATGAAGAACCCAAAATATTATTTTCATGAACCTCATTCATTTCGGAGTCTTTTTGTTTCCATAAGTAATTTATGTTTTATATAGAACACATGAAAGACTTCAATTCTCTTTCTTTAAAATTGGGAACATAGAACTATTGAATACATAGAATTGGGAATAGAAAAGTTTTCAATGTGTGGAGCAAAAATGTAAATGGTAGAAGAATTGAACATTATATCCTTATTAAAGCAGGGAGAAAGAGAGGTAGAAAAACTAATGAGAGAAAAATAAAAAGGAGAATGGAAGAGCCATGGAGAGTGTACAGTAAAAATGAACAGACTGGCATGCATCCAAAAAGAGGCAGAGGAAGAAAATATGAAATTATAGGAATATTCACAAAAAGATATAGCAAGAAAAGAGCATCAAGAAAATTTAATTGAGTTTATTCTCTTATTTTGGCCAGAGTCTTTTATTGAATTTCTGATCACTCAAATTTTAAATTACTGATATTCCATCAATAAAATCAATTCACTTCCAATTAAAAACTAGTTTCCCTCCCATTATATTACATAAAGGCTAACAATATAAATTATGGTTGCTAATTAAATCAACGCTCCGTTCTAGCGCCTGAGAAGGAGTTTGCCTCCGGGCTTGTTAAGACGCGTTTCATCGACTTGGACAACCACCACTTCAGCCACCGGTCTGCCCACCTTGGAGCCGGCACCAGTACGGAGGGACCGGAGCGCCAGCATCAAACTGCATGATGCACCTTCATCCAGGTTGGACAAAAGTTCCTATTGATTTCATGACTCTTAGAGAAGTTATTTACCAAACAGAAATGATAAATTACAGGAGAAGGGAGGCCCAACCAGTAACATTTGGTTGGAGACCAGCATTAAAAATGGAAAATGTGTATGAGAAGACTTCCAAAAATTCATGGAAAAATGGAATTAAAGTACGAACATATTTTGGTGGGAGAAAAAATATTTGAAACCCATGTGCAGTTTTTCCATAATGGCATTTTCCATGAATTTTTTAGGAATTGACAACATCAGATAATTCATCTTGAACTCTCTTATGTGACCTTATACATAAGTGACCAGAGTTGATCCCTGCGAATGTGACCTTGGGTGGAAAGGGTTGAGCTCAGGATAAAGGTAGACTAGAATTTTTCTACTTTGAGTTCCATAATAGACTTTTTTTTAAAAGATATTTTTACTGTAGGGTATGAGCACTCTCTAGAGAGACAGAGAGACAGAAAGTGAAAAATCACCACCCACAGGGGATGGCCATGCCATAATCCCTTCTTCATTCTGCTCTTGAGATTTTGAGTACACACACACACACACAGGCACTCAGTGTGAGTTTTAAGCTGCCAGGTCCGGGACTGAACCGTGATTGGCTATGTGTGAGTCCAGCAATATAACACTTCTAAGCCTAAGACATCCAACCAGACATTTGCAAATGGCTGTTGTATCCCACTAGCCCACCAGACCAGCTGTCCTAGCCATATTGGAAGGGCAGAAGAGTAAACCAAAAAGTAGATCATCCTAAGAACACTTGAATAGGCTTGACCATTTGGTACTTGAAACTTTATTTAGTATACTCATTCTAATTTTACAAAGTCACTTACTAGAATTAGCAAAGCTAAGAATGGATAATGTTGACATCTAAAAAGAACTTTGAAGAAAACATCTCTTGAAAGAAGTGCTTTTAGAGTGAGCTGTTTTGTCTTTGTATATGTAGAATAAAAATAGCATACTTTATATGAATTCCATAATGATCAGAATACTTACCATATGATTTCAGATTTTTGAAACATAATTTATTTATAGGTTTCGGAATCGTGAATGATCTAATGAATGAAAAATATCCATATTATTGTTGAATTGCATGTTAACAATATCGAAAGTGATCTCCTGGTCTTAGCCTCTCATATCAATAAAGCACCATGGCGAGGTTGGCAGAGAAATGGGAACTTTTCAGATCATAAGAATTTAATAACTTCTGACTTTTCTTGCTTTTGTGGTTAAAAATATTTCATTAATTTTTTCCACATTAACATTTATATTCTAATAAACCTGTGACATCAAAAGCGACACGAGTGACTCTTTCATATACTAGTTCAGTTCCATTCTGTCTTATTATCTGGACCATATAAAATTTGTAAATGCCACCATAGGAGCAGGTTATGCTCTATTTCATGAGTTCTTTCCAAAAGTTTGAAATTAGAAGTTATTGGTAATTGGTAATATTATTCTTTAAAAATTCTGATTATTGTTGATTCCTACAGAGTAAATCCTAACAAATTGTAGTTAATAGTGTTATAGTTAAATATTTCTTGAGAAAATTATCATTGCCATTATTTATATTGTTATAGAGGTTGCCTATTTTCCTGACGTACCTTGCCAAGTTTCTTGTCACAGTATAAGTTACTGCTCTATCGATTACTCTACTAAAATTCATTCATGCCTTCTCGTATATCTTATTTCTGTTTACTTTTTACTTCTAGTCAAATATCATTTCCCCTACTCTACTCTTCTCTTCTATTAGTCAGTTAAGTGAAACTGGGGGCTAAAATTGAAATCATGATAAGAAAGAAGATTCCAAGAACTTGTATGAGCTTAACTCCCATGGAGTCTGTCATTCTGCTTTATAAAATAAATACTCAGACTCAAATATTTTCAAAAGAGATAGGGAAATGGGAGCTAGACAATGCTGCAGTGATAGACCACTGCTCTATAAGGCTGACCCATATGGGAAGTTTCTGGGTTCCCATCCAAAGACCTCCCTAACTACACCCAGTACCATTTGCCCATGATGAGGGGCTGGCTGTGTGGGATTCAATCACAGCACCAAGACTCAGTTGAAAGTCCTTCTCTCTCTCTCTCTCTCTCTCTCTCTCTCTCTCTCATTCTCTCTCAATCTCTTAGTCACTCATGGAAGAAATAAACTTTTCAAAATGAGGTCATGAATACTGTATGATCCCACTATTCTCTTTCTACTAGAAATACTCATAGATATCTTGCCTGGGTATACTTTTTTCCTACAGTTTAACTTACTATCTCTATAAATTAAAATGATGCTATGATAAACTTCATAAAGTTTTCAGAATTAGCACTTTTTTTTTGAGAGATTTTCACTGTAGGGCGCGTGCGCTCGCCAGACAGAGAGAGACATAGAGACAGAAAGCGAGAAATCACCCGAAATAAACTTTTCAAAATGAGGTCATGAATACTGTATGATCCCACTCATTCTCTTTCTACTAGAAATACTCATAGATGTCTTGCCTGGGTATACTTTTTTCCTACAGTTTAACTTACTATATAAATTAAAATGATGCTATGATAAACTTCATAAACTTTTCAGAATTAGCACATTTTAAATATTTTTATTTGTAAAAAACCAAAACTGTAGTAGCCAGTTTTTGTGCTAGCCTTTACAATATTTCTCTCTGAGATATTAAGAAAAGTGCAGTGAGACAGTTCATAGTGTGTGGTAGTTAGAGTAGCTGGATCCCATATGGCTGACTGCGTGGTTTAAGTCCCAAAGCAGTTTGAAAAACACACACGCAAGTGTGTGCTCAAAATCCTGAAAGGAAGGAGAAATGGAGAAGAAATTATATCATGTCTATTCCCCATGGAAGGATCTTTCTGCCCTCTCCCCATTTCTGGTGCATGCCCACACCCTTTAGCAAAATTGAAATTAAAAAAAAAAAAAGAATGTCAGTGAATATTAAGATCTTTCCTTTAAAAGGTCCACATAGAAAAGTAATAGCCTATTAATTATATAATGTACTGAAAAATGAGAACATGTCAGTCACATGTACCTTACATATTTTTTTTACCATAAATCTTATCAATTCAGGAAAATAAGTTGAAAAGGATTAGCACCATAAAAAAATAGTGTAGTTTCTATCTCAGATCCAGAGTTTTCTTTGATTATTTCCAAAATTCCAAGTATTTATGAAATGCTTAATACGAGATCCCAAAAAGGACATGAAACAAATATTTTGTATGCTTTCCTTTGTATTTGATAATCACTAACATTCATTCCACATTTTAAATGTCTTTTTAATGATATATTTGGTAAGCTGCTATGAGAAGTAATGAGAAAAGATAAAGTATTATGTACCTGGGTCAACAGAGAAATTTTTTTCTAAATAAAAACAAACAAAAGAGAAAAAAAAAAAAAAGAAAAGAAAAGGCAGAACACAAGTGTCAGAGTGTCAAATGTCTCAACACAAATTACAGATCTTGCCTATTTCTTACTTTACTAATAATCAAAAGACACGGTTGTTAGCAAAGCCAGTGCTCAAAATGTTATCCTTTGAGTGATTTGAGTCCATTATATACATAAGCATATGTTCCAGTTTGGATTTAACATACAGACTTCTAAGCGATGCGTGCATACTATTGCTTGCACAGAGGGAGTTTCCATTTTTGTTATGGAAACTGTCCAAATTAGACCTCATTAATTATACAGTTTATACGACGATCTCCATACATCTATGACCCCATATGATTCCATCAACTTCAGGTTTATTTATAATAAGCCCCCCTCCCCAGACAGACCAGGCACATCCTGCCCATAGAACCAATATAATTTTGGCAGGAGGTCAAATTCTCAAGTTATATTGATGCAAATTACAGATTTTACCCTGTTCCACATTTACTAGTGCTTGAAAGGACACAGGTGTTAGCAACCACAGACCAAGCACTTTTTCCTTGGAGCAGTGCAAGGCTGTCAGCACAGTTTCCTAATTTCTTTTCTCTCCCAAATTAGAATGGATTTTGTTCCTATTTAGCAAAGGTTTTGAACAATACTTGCAGAGACATTTTAGCTTGAAATACTTCCAATATTTATATCCCATGAATTACACAGCTTGTATGACCTTCTCTAGCCCAACCATCCATAGATCTATTAATTCCAGATTTATTTACAATAAGCAACTTAGACCAAGTACATTCTGCGAAAAGCATTCCCAGATGAAGACTCTCCATTACATTTTTCCTAGTAAATATCCTCAATGTGTTTAGCATCAGGCCCATCACTGGCTAGTTTACAAGGGAATTTGACAGGTTCATCACTTTCTTTCCAGGATGTCACCAGAGAAGGGAAATGTACAGGCTTGCTGGTAACCTCTTCCATCTTAAGGTGATACTACAAAACAAAACAAAACCATTGTCTTCGTATTTTTTTATTTATATTTAATCATTGTACACTTCTACGGAATATGATGTGGGTTCTCTAAGCATCAATGTATCGCATGTCAAGCAAATCAAAGATATTTACCATACACAGTAACTTTCCATTCTTGGGTCTATTAGATTTTTTTTTTTCAATTCCCTCTCTCCTACCCCCAACTGTCCACTCTTTTATATATAGTCCCTGGTATCTACACTTGCTGTCTCTGCTTTTATATTTTCCAGTTTTTCAGTTTCTTACAGAAGTTTTATTTTATTTTATTGAATTATTTTATTTAACTTTATTGTTATTTTTTACTAGACATTTTGTTTTTTTTTGTTTTTTTTTTTTCAGTTTGACCAGAGAGAAAGAAAGAGAGAGACAATGTGAGAAAGCAAATTACCAGGTCCTGGATGCAAACCACAGTCAGCCATGTGGGAGTCCAGTGTCTTAAACCACCATGCCACATGCTGGTCTCCTGTTTTTCTGTTTCTGCCATAGAGTACAGACATTTGGTATATATTTTATAAACATTTACTTTTTGAATATAGATGTACTAAAATAATACATAACAAAACTCTGAAGTGTGTAGTATGATATTGGTAACTGATGTAAGTTTACCTGCCTCTTTTCTTTTTTAAAAAATGTTGCTATAGGATGCATGCACTTGAGAAAGGAGTAGGCAGGGCCAGGGAGATGTAATATAGTATCTCCCCCACCACCACCACCACCAGAGGGGATGACCTTGCACAGTCCCTTCTCTTCCATTCTCCTCTCCAAGTTTTAGACACACACACACACACACACCGCATATTTTCCAAGCCATGAGGTCTAGGACTCTAACCATGCAGTTCACCATGTGTGATGCAGCCTCCCTAACCACCATGCCAACTGGTTGGCCCTAGAAAGTCTATGACACATGATCGTATTGCAGAAATAGAATGAGGTGTTTGATTGTTATTAATTTAATAGGTAGGGAAATTATTCTCTTTTTTTGTGAATCCAATATCCTTGATGAGTGACTGCTGTATTCCTGCAATAGAATTGACTTTAGGTAACCTATTTTGTCATTTGGAGATGAAGTGATTCTCTCATTGAAGCTGAACCAGTGCTCAGGTTGGCAAGTATGTTTATGAAAATTATGGTTGAGTGCTGGCCAGATTGGCCCCCAAAGCTGATTAACAATTTCTTCATTTTCTTGTATATCCTACCTTTGCAGTGCTGTTGGTCCTGATTCTTGGAATAATCCAGTGATGATGACTCTCACCAAAAGCAGATCTTTCACTTCTTCCTATGCTGTGTCTGCAGCTAATCACGTAAAGGCCAAAAAGCAAAATCGACCAGGTGAGTAACGCTAGAAGGGTTCATGCTCTGAGTGTGAAGTTAGTCTCAAACTAAGGCTCCTTAAATGTTGAACTATTCTGAGACTTCCCTCCACTCTGATGTGTGATTGTTCTACAAAGCCTCAATAACCAATTCGTTTGTGATAGCAATTTCTTCAAGGTCGTATCAGAGTTTCTGCCTTGAACTTATTGGATGAATAGGAAACCAGTGTCACCATTAAGAGCAATCTCTGGTCACCATGTTGTAATTTTATTTTTGTTGTCTTTTAAACATAAAAAACATTTCAGGAGTATGATATTTGTATGCCTTCAAAGAAATACTTCATAAGCTATGGTTAAACATGTGGCTATCAAAATTAAGAATAATAAAGTTTTAAGTAGGAATGTGAAATCATTGGGGGGAAAGATTACCTGATAGGATTAGAATCTGTATGGACTGAAAACTGGGATATATTTGTTTTCAGACTCTATCTCTGGATTGCCCTTCTAGAATCCAAGTTAAAAGCCTGTTGAAAGGGTGTGTACTTCTTAGAATGGTGTAAGAATTTACTTCTCGGGACTATAGAAAGCATCAGTGAGATTTTTAGTAACTTCCCGCTTAACTTCTTAACCTTCCATCTTTAGCTGCTTAAGAATTCACCAAATGGCTCAAGGGGAAAGCTGCCCCTTCTCACTGAGATCCTGGACACTCAGGTCTGGCTTCCCTGGCAGTCTCACACTCCAAGTTTGAGGTCATCAACCCCATGATGCTAAAAGCTCTGCTGGCCTGCCTCCCTGGTGCTGCACCCACTGCCTGGACTCATCTCCTTGCTCCATGCCAGTAGTCAGTAAATAATGCTTTGAAGGGAGAAAGAGCTTGCAGAACTTTGGCTCATCATTCCAAGGAATCCTCTCTGGGAGCCTAGTTTCTCACAGTTAGGTGCTTTGCCTTGATAGTTTCGTTTAGTTTTTAGTTTTCTTTTAAACATCAGCTTTTCTTTTTGTTCTCAAAGGAACATGGGGTTGACTACAACTACCACTTATCGTCAGAAGCCAAAGACCCCACATGACAGTTTCTGTGCAGCTTAGAGAAACCTATGAGGTTCCACAGTCCACTCCTATTTCAGGAGTCCACTTTGAAATACAGACTTTCAGTTTTAAGACACATGAATTAAGGAAGCATTTCTGTTGTTTCTCACATCCAGAAAAGAAAATGTAGTACTCTTCCCCCTTTCATTACCCATGATATTCTAGCTAACTATTCCTTGAAACTATCACCTACTTTGCTTAAATGTCTACTGTTTCCTGTAGGATGACGTGTCCTTCAGAAAGTACAGTTTTAGTGAAATGGCATGAATGACAAAAAAACAATGAAAGGTAATCTGGTTTAAAGAAAACTGATCTGGTCTTCCCTGCTCTTTAAACATATTTATTAAATTGGGGCCAGCAGATGATGTAATAGCTATGTTGCTGGACTCTCACATAGTCGACCGCTGTTTGAGTCCTGAACCCAGTGACTTAAACGCACACCAGGCATGTGTGCGTGCGTGCCCAAGATCCCGAGAAGAGAATGGAGGAGTGTCCCGACCCGGAGGGGACTGCCAAACGGGTTTCCTGAGTGAAGGAGTGAGAGCCGGGACAAGCAGCATAGTGTTACAACATGGAGACGACAGTGTCGTCTGTTTATTGTGGGCAGCACGGTACAGCACAGAGACGATGCAGTGTCACAGCTCTTAAGGGTCGTGTCGTCTACTGTGAGCAGCACAGAGATGACACCGTGTCACAGCTCTTCAGGGTTGTCCGGAGACGATGTAGTGTTACAACTCTTCAGGGTCTCCCAGGTTGTCTGGAGACTGTGCGGTGTTTCAGCTCTTCGGGCTCTTCAGTCGTCGTCTTCCTGGTCGTCTTCTTCTTCCTGGTCGTCTGTCGATTATGGGCCAGAGATCGCGCTTATATACACATTGGTGGGCCGTGATTGGTTGAATGAAGGATAGCAAAAGGTAGGTTATGATTGGTTGCTTTGTGGACCAATCAGGAGGTACCCGGATATGCAAATCTGAGGGATTCTAAGCTCACCGATTTGCTATGTGAAGTGGCCAATCAAAGTGTGGTGTTGAAGATGAGGTTTTTTTGAAGGGGAGCCAATTGTGGCTTTTGTAATTGTTTGCTCTCTGAGCCTAAGATGGCAATAGTAAGAGACTCATGAAAAATGGCCTCAGCAGACTCACTGTTGCACAGCCTCCCACAGAGGAGAAGGGATTACGGTGTGGCCGTCCCCCCTGGGGGTGATTTCTAGTTTTCTGTCCTCTGTCTGTCTCTGTCTTTCTGGTGAGCGCACACACCCTATAGCAAAAATCCTCTCAAAATGTATTAAATTTTATAACCTAGAAGTTATTAATGACCTGAAATATAGAACTGGGCTTTCCCCAGGGCCAGAAAATAGAGGGTAGTATGGACAAATACTGAAATTCAAATTGCCCAGAAGGTAAACAGAGATTAGCTTAACTGTAAGACTTTTCTGAGATTCTAGCTAGCTAAAAGGACTGAATCTGTGAATTCCAGGTTAAATGAGACTTTAGAAGAGGCATTAAAGTGGTCGTAGGTCTGTAGGAATTCCTGGTTCCCTGTAAAAGTATATGCAGATATTTTGTGAAGAAAAACCTCACCCCATAAGAGTCATGAGTTCTTTCGTTTATTTTTGTGTTTAGTTTATTTGTTTTTTGGCATGTGTGCCACAAATAGATAGAGGGAAAATGAGAAATCACCACCAAGGGGGGATGGCCACTCCAAGTCTCTTCTCCTTCTTTCTCGTCTTGGGATTTTGAACATGTACACACATGTATCTGGTATGATTTTCAAACCACCAGGCTCAGGACTCAAACCATGGTCAACCATGTGGGAATCCAGTGCCTTAACCACTACATCACCTGATGGCCCAAAGGGTCATGAGGTTTTTAAGTTTATTTATTTCTCCATGAGTGAGAGAGAGAAAGCAAAAGAGACAGCACCTCCAACAGAGTCTTGGTGCCTTGATCCACCACCAGGCTTCAGCCAGTCCCAGATCGTGGACAAGTGTGTGCCCTGTGTGCTCAAGGAGGTTTCCAAGCTTGAACTTTCCATGTGGGATTGCCTCCCGGAGCATTGCACTTTATTGCTGCCCCATCATCTAACCCTGGGGCATGACATTTTAACAGATCAACTTTATACATGAAACTTAAAAGACTTACAGCCATGATCACTGAACTCACAAGGAGACACTATAAGTTACAGTCAACAGAAAAACAGCAAAAGTTTTTTAGATCTATGAATGGGTTGAAACATTTAAATTCTATAATATTCAAATGCCAGTTAATTTTCAAATTTACATTTAAAGAAAAATGTAAGATCATAAGAAATAATAGCAATGAGAAAAGACATACTTGCAGAGCAGCTAAATGGAACATGTAGAAATATAATTGAGTAAATATAAGTTAAATATCGTAATAGACTGATCAAGGGAGAATGAGTAAATTGAACAGAGGAAGATGTAAAGAAACAAGAAAAATTCTCCAGAATATAACTGCAAGAGATTGGGGGGGGGGAGATTTTGAGATATAGAAAAAAATTAGAACATCTTGTACATAATCATAATTTCAGTAGCAGATAGAAGACATACAGTATTTGATGAGAAGCAGTGGAAATGGAAAGAAATGAATACATAGACCCAAAATAGTAAAACTATCCAACACCAAAGACTGAAAAATATTCCTAAAATCAGCCAGAGAAAAAACAAATTACCTTTTCAGGGCAGGCAGGCAATCTGAGAGTACAACTGTCAGATAGTAAGACTAGGAGTAAAGACATTTTGAGAGAAGTCAAGATTTTCCACCTAGCAAATCTTTATGAGGGATGTATGCTAGGAAAAAAAGAAAAAGAGTATCAAAAAGTTCAAGGTCTAATTAAAATGGTAAACAGTTTTGAAAACCGTAAGTCATCCATACAAACATTACAAATGTGTATATAATAGTGCAGTAGCCACCCCCCTCCCCCAAAACCCAAGGATTTCTTTTTTACTTTCCATACTTTCAGTTCCCCATGGTCAACTGTGATCCAAATTTCAGAGAAAAAGAGACCACATTCACATAACTTTTATTACAGTACAGTGTTACAATTATTCTGCCTTGTTATTATAGTCCTTATTGTTAATCTCTTATTGTATTTAGTTTATAAAGTAAACTTTATCAGAAGTGTATACATATAGCTAAAGACAGAATATGTAAAAGATTTGGTACTCTTCTTTTTGGGCATCCAGTGGAAGTCTGGGAACACATCCCCATGGATTGAGACAGAAAGCTGTATTTCCAGCTTTGTTGGGAGTTTTTAAAAGATTCCTGGGTCCAGCAGTTAGCATAATGGTTATGTCGTTGAACTCCCATGTAGCCAACCGTGGTTCGAGTCCCGGACCCAGTGTCTTAAACTCACACTGGGGGCTTGTGCATGCGTGCCCAAGATCCCAAGAGAAGAATGGAGGAGAAGGGATTGTGGCGTGGCCATTGCCCCTCGGGGGGTGATTTCTCACCTTCTGTCTCTCTGTCTCTCTCTGTCTTTCTGGCAAGCACACATGCCCTATAGCGAAAACATCTCAAATAAATAAATAAATAAATAAATAAGGATTCTTAAAGGATATAATTAAAACATCAAATATTAGGGGCCAGCAGATGGCTTAATGGTTACATCGCTGACTCCCATGTAGGCAACCATAGTTCAAGTCCCAGACCTGGTGGCTTGAAACTCATGCTGGGCACATGTGTGTGCATGCCCAAAATCCCGAGAACAGAATAGAGGAGAAGGGATTGCAGCTTGGCCACCTCCCCTGGGGGTTATTTCTCACTTTCTCATCAACGAGTGTATGCGTCCTATAGCAAAAATCTCTCTTAACAAGAAAAAGAGAAAATCAGATAACAATAATAATATATAATTCAACAAATAAAATGTGAATTTAAGTGTTGTCTTCCTCTTCCTTGTATAGCTCAGGAAGAGGGT